AATACTGCTCTATATGAAAACATGGGTTTTCTATCTTTAGGAAAACAAGGATGGCATTAATAATGGTAAAGCCGGGCCACATTGCGAGCACATGGGGAGCACCTTATCCCACTGTTCAGAGTCCTGACTCGATTGTCTCTTCAAAACATCTTGACATGAGACTCAAAAACAATCTGTGGATGTCTGTGGCCAAAGGTGACAGTGGATGAGACCAGAGCCAAAAATGAACATGTGGTCTGCGCGAACTGTCCCGCAGCATAACAAATGATGGAGCTTTGTTCTCTGTTATGTCAGCCTTTCATCTAACGCAATTACTGAGAAGAAGCCCCGCGGGAATTTAACTTACAACCTCTTGTGCTAACATCATTAAGGTGCAGCCTACTGGGAAACATAGGAGATAATCTGAGTAAATACTGAATACAGCCAACTACGGAAATAGCCATTAAATATTAGGGTTTGGCTATGTCATATTTCTCATGATATATTGATAAAATTTGACAGTTACAAAGAATGTATGTACAACACAACTACTTTAAGGTCTACAGACATTTGAATAGAGACTGGGGAGTAATAATGATAGAGACTGTTTCAGTTTTTAAAGGTGTAATGTGCAATGTTCCTGGTAGAGAGTCTGGCAACTGCTTATAGTGAAGTTATAAGACCAAAATTACAGGTCAGATCTGTGGAGAGGTGACAATGCTGATAATGAGAATGCATGTTTTTAGGGTATTTTTGAGGTATAAACATATATGTTAAATATTTTAATTTTATTTTCCATGTTTCCTATCAAGTTTAAAAGCCTAACCAGCAAGTCCCAAGAAGCCTTAAATGACTTCAGTTCGGTGACAATACTTAAATGTCAGTACAAAAGTATCAGTACAAAATTATACTATCACCAATCTTGTATTTTATATCTTTAAGTTCTGGTCCATATCACCCCGCAACTTGTACTCAAACAGAAGTACTGTCATTTAAGAATAATCACTCATTATAATCTCAGGAAATCACAATAACAAAAGTTTGTATCATAATTTTTCGCCAGGTCTTGTTCTTATTATCTTGTCCTGCTCTGGATCAGATAGGCCTGTTGGTTTGCATAGCGACAGTAACCTTAAATCTCCACACCTGCTCTGTGTCTGAGGCCCGAGCTGTGATGGATGACCTGCCCAATGTGAACTCAGCTCCTCCAGTCACAGCTCCAGGGACTGACTGCACTAACACACACACTGCCACTGTCCTGCTAACTGCACTTTAAATGTCTCCATGCCACCCTGGCCAACACTGGCGCACAAACACAGGTCTGAACCGCCACTCTATGCCCAGCGGTGCCAGTACCAGTCTGCATGACACACAGCTGTGAAAGGATGGAGTGAGAGCTACCTGGAAAGACAATTTACATCTGCCTTGTCTCTGAAATAGGTTTACCATCTGCAGTGTTTACAAGTATTTTCTCATGGTCGTGCAATTGGCTATATTTAGATGTGAACTTGAAGTAACTATTATAGAACGTACCTTTTCCACATACACATTAATGATACTTTGCAGCAGATGTCATCAAGGTTCCCTGGAGGTTTGATGCTAACTGAAGGCTTTGCTCTGTCTGAAGCTCTATTACTTAAATTAGAGTTTAATCTCAGCCTTGTTTTAACACAGTCTGACCAGAAAGAACCTGCTTAGGGGCTACAGGTGGAAATTAGCACTGGTGCTACAACGTTGTAAAATGCATCTCTCCTGTTAAGGTTAATGTATAATGTGCACTGTCCCTGTTTCATTAAAAAAATAAACTAAAACTGATTTAGCTGGAAATATGGCATGCAAGGCTCTCTCACATACAATTACGGTCACAGGTGGCTAGCATTAGACAGTTTTTCAGTTAGTCACTCTCACCTTTTTGTGGAAAATCAAAGACTGAAATAGGCCCATGAATGCTTGTATTGATCACAGGCTCCTGAAAATGTGTTGTATAAAACGTTTTTGTCAGTGTTTGCTAACGTGTGCATTGTGTCACCATAACATCTGAACATCCCATCATATACGTACATATAGAACACCCCCAGAGTGATGTCAATGGGAAGTATTATTATAATTTTACTTCTACTTTAGTAATAAAATTATAATCTAAAGTAACAATTTTCTCATTTGAATGCACAGTTTGGCCACGCTCGCCCCTTCTGGCCCAAAGTGTATCCGTTCCAAGCAATATTAAATTGTGATTATTGTATCATGACTGGCTTTAAATTTGTATTGTTGCAGTTTCCACATTATTTAAAAGTGCTATACCTGTTTTTCTGATTTAAAACTGCAAAAACAGAATGAGTTGATTTTAAACAGTTCCACTCTCCTTCTCCTTCTTTCATAGCACATTCCCTCCATCCTAGTTACTGCAATGAGTTTATAAGTGCTTTTCAGAGGCCAGACCAGACTCACACTGATACACCACTGCCAACGACAAATACCATTATCAGAACACCAGCACTACCTGGTTCAAGGACAATAAAAACACTTTAGAATTAGATGCATACAGCACACAATAATCTTTAAGTAGTAAAAGTAAAAGAATATATCTGCATTTGGGCAAAACAAACTCTACTTTAATACAGGAAAATATTGGGTATAGCTCCTTAATAAAATAAAAAAGGATAAAAATGTAACAACGGCATAATAAGGCCACTCTACTCACTGTGCAAACCAAAAGATCTGGCATAAAACATAGAAATACTGTATATAATATTCATACACAGACAATTTGCTTTGGCACACCCAAAAGCCAAAATACAGGGAAGCATGATTAAAACAGTAATTTTTATTCTATTTCTATTTATAAACCATATTATATTACCAAACTGACATTTCCATTGGCCCATAGGGTGCTGCTGTCTCTGTTAGATTACCCCGGGCTCATGCATATTAGCCTGGTTTGGGTAACATTTCTACTGTAACGCTCAAACACAAAGGAGCCTCACAGGAGCAGCTCGGCTTACAGCGCTGGACGTCCTGCCAGGAAACCCACAACAGGTGAAAGGTGAAGGGATTAAAGCTTGATTTAATTTGGAAGGGGCTCATAACATCCAGCTTAGACCCCATTACATCACTGCGCAGGAGGACGAGGGGCAGGGAGCACTGATGAGACGTACAGAGGAGGGGGTCACCTGTCAGGGCCCATTTACAGACTGGATATTTACATGGTTCAGATCCTCAGAGGAGAATATGTTTTTGGTTTTCCAGTACTGTATGATCAAATGATGAACCAAAGCTATAGATACAGAAAGTTCTGGCTAAACAGTGAGCAGATTTTTTAAAGATGCACTGTGTAACATTTCCAATGGGTGTCTTCCTGGAGATGATATTGCTTTGCTTCAGTATAGTATTAAACTTCAGATTTCCACAGAGACAAACAGGTAGTGCCAAGAAGTCAAGTTACAGGTGAGATCTATGTAGAGATGACCATCTTGCAATGAAAAGGCATGTTTTTGAGCAATTAAAACACGTGAAATTGAAAGCTAGGCAGATAAGTTTCCAGACAAAGCAATAATATCACTATGGAGACAAACAAATGGCAGAAGAACATCCACCCAGAAAAGTTACATAGTACACTTTTAAACTTGTTGTCATAATAGATGCAATATGAAACTATGTTGACAAAAATAATCAGTAGAAAATCCAAAAATTTGATTACCATTTCAAAACAAATTAACCAATTCGATGCATACCAGTGACCGAATACTTTATTTTAGTTTCTTTTAATCAGACACTTTGTCTGCTGGCTTGATTATCGAAAACAGTATGAACTAACATACGTTTTTGGAGACGATATTTGAACCATGAAATGCAGCCCTTTTGTCCAGTATCACGCTAATCCTATTCTTTGATTATATTCACAACCAGATGCCACAAATAAATCCTACTCAAACTTCTTGGACAGCTCAATTTGACTTTTTGGACATGTAAATGTGATTTTAGACTATATTTTATTCATTACCAGACATTTCCTGCTTATTACAGTTTGTCCCTTATCCAAACTGGAAGACTAAAAGATAAAAGATAAAATGCAGAAAAAATCTGGAGAGAATTGTTCATATTAGGTAGTCTGATTAGAGGAAGACACTGCCAAAGTCAAATCCAATATCTCAAAAAATAAAGCAACATATACAGCCAATAGTTTGCATTCACATAACAGAATTTGATGATGTCATCATTTCAGATGGAAAGCAGGGGCCGATTTAACTCAATGGGTGAGTCTGTGGTTTTGAAAGAAATGTCAAAACTTATGATGCAGAAAATTTGGACCTTATCATTGTTTGTTAAGACTTGGCTCCACAAACTAATCTTGTGGTTTTGTGTCTTTTCAACTGACAATCATCACAACTGTCTGAAGCTATTGTGGAAAATAATGTCACTTTTGTTAATTTATTATACTCAAAGAAAATACATAGATTTTGTGCCAGTTTTTGGTTTGACAGGCCCGGTAATTATAACAGTATGAGCCATAATTCAGGTCAAAAATCTGCAATTTGACAGTTAAACAGCAAATTCGTCCATGTAACTCTGATATGTCCTCCATTTTAAACTATAGAGATTGTACAGTGTTAAGATTTGACATGAACGCATGAACCTGTTGATACTTTGCAGCTGATGTTATAAACGTTCCCTGGGGGTATGGTGCTAACTGTAGGCTCTGCTCTGTCTGAAGCTTTGTTACTCAAGTCAGACTTTAATCTAACCTTTGTTCTAAGATTTGTTACACAATCTGACCAGAAGAACTGGAACTACAACAGGTGAGCTGATTTATGCTGTTAAACAAGTCAAATAGCGTTACAGTTCCAAGCTCTTCACCATTAGCCAACAGTTTTTCAGTCCTTCTCACCTTTTTGTTGAAAATCAAACACTTACACAGGACCATGAACACCTTAAAACCTTTTTGACAGTTTTTGCTAATGTGTATATTGTGGCACGATGGTAACTACATGCTTCTCTATTGGTGGAAGGTTCATGGGACTGACCTGCGGGGGCGGGACCTCTGTGCGTGTCCTGGGGTTGTGTGGAGCGGTTGCGGTTCTGTTGTCGTTGGCGTTTGCTTCCAGTCGATCTCGCTGTCCTTATATGAACTTCACTGACTTTGAAAAATGCCACTAAAAATGGCTGCTTCTCCTGGGCGCCATCTCGACCCACAAGCCCCGCCTCCTTGGAGCTGATGCTTTGACCTGCAATTCACAAATAATAATTTAGTTCATAAAAATACCATGAAATTAATCAAGCTCAGATTTGGTCTTGGTTTAAGCCTTGTTCAGTCTTGATGTAGACTTTGTTTGGTCCTGTTCTAGTTCACAACCTAAATACATAAGTCAAAACTGCTACAGATTTAAATCCAAATGTATATGATCATATCAAAACAAAAGTAAATATAAAAAGAATATTTATTACACACTGATATAACTGTATGACTACGTCTTATTGGTAAGTCTGAATATCTTTTAATGGTGCACAATATAATTTTTCTGATAGGAAGTCTGTTACCTGATTCTTTCTATGGAGATGTTATTGCTTTGGCTAGAATGCTCTACAGTGTGGTGTAAAATTTACCTCGATGGAGGCAAGAAGACCAAGTTACAGGTTAGATCTGTGGACAGGTGGCCCCACTCACAAAAATAATGCATGTTTTTAAGGTGTTTTTGAGCAATAAAAAAACACCAATAATTGAATGAAAGCAAAATAGAAAAGATTAATGCCATACTGTGAACATACTAGGCAAAGTAATAACATCTCTTATGCAGACAAAAGGTGGTAAAGCCCCTACAGGAGAAGCTACACAGTGCACCTTGAAGGCCTGGATGTAAAAAAGTCAAATGAAGTCTCTTACCGCTGCTGGTCTCTATGCTGATCTGCAGGCCCAGGTTGTGCACAGGGCTCATGATCCACAGGTTACTGGTGGCTGTGATGTCAAACTCCAGCCAGCCCTCCTCAGCAGCCCACAGTCTGCGCGACTCAAGCAGGAACAGGTCTGCCTCCCTACAAGAACAAAACACAACACACTGTCAATGAGTTATAAAGTTTTTCGTTATCATGAAGAAAGTGTGCGAAGAATATTCTCTACAAACCACCCATGGACACATTAATTTATGTTTAGCAATCAATGAGGCATTCACACTTTTTTAGTTCAGTTTTTGGTATTGATTGATATTGCAAATAATCAATAATCATAAATTAAAAATATGATACAAAGTTCTCCATATGAAAAGAAATGAGAGTTTTTTTTTTTTTAAAGTAGATTCAACCCCTGCATACCCCTGTAACCTAGTTTGGTCTTAATGAGTCAAAAAAATTTAATACTGCAATGATATAGTTCGCAGTACAACATATCGTTGTCAAATATCTTTATCTCATATCATGCGGCCCTTTTAAAATGTATGAGACTACACATTGCATTCAAGTTGATTCTATATGAGGCTGCATTATCATTTGGTGGTCATATAAATGTAATATATATGTAATACGCATATAATATGTATAATATGTATATAATATGTATAATATGCAGCCCTCGACCCCAAAAATACCCATGGAGTCATTAATTTATGCTAGAGTCAATAATAATAAGTGAGATAAATTTGATAGTTGAAATTGAAAGTATAATTGTTATCGATTTAATTTTGCAGTGGGGGTCTCCGAGTTGTTCACATGATTATTTTGAAAGCCTCGGCCTGAAAAGTTTGGAAACACCTGCTGAAGACCAACCAACAATGTATTATCTCAGCTAATATATGATTGTCCAAGGCTTCAGGTATGCATGAATCAATGTCATCCAAAATCCATCGTACAAACTCACAGATGTTGAAGCTTTTGTTGTCATGGTGTGTAAAAAATTTAACATTGTTGTAAATGTAGCTTGACACAGCTGATGCCGAGAGAGCCAAAAGCACAGAATAGTAGTTGGGTCCTAACTGTCCTGGGACAGCAGAGGGGAGTCTATCTTCTACAAAGTCAAGGCAAACCCAGCAGCGCTCCCCCTGTATCTCGGTAACAGTATCATAACAGAATGACAGTTAGATGAATGGAGGCCGTTAACAGAAATGCAGGGGTCTGCTGTCTGGGCTCCCCTGTAGGTTTGACCACAGAGTCACCTCTCCCAGGGACGAGAGGAGGCAGGATTCAACTCTGCAAAGTATGAGCTAAAATATGTCCATATCATTACAAAAGATAGTGTGAAGCTCTTTAAAAGTGTATCAAATCCTGCTGTTTTTATAATGTGTAGGAGTGGGCGATATTGAGAAAAATGGATATCTAGATACTTTTCTTGGATAATCTCTATAACAGTAAAAGCTGAATGTATTTTATTGCAATCAAAATATTATTTCGTCCCTCCTTGATCAAATTCACTAGACATTATTTTCAATCTAAATATATGTAGAAAAGGATAACAAAAAGAAAAATAGATACTTGTTTTCGCATTTGTTTTTTCCCCATATCTCCCCTAGTGTGTCTTATCAGGAGAAAGAAGTCATGATTTCCACCACGTAAGAAGACGCAGCTAATGTCTATAAGCAACCAACCACATAATATGAGAGGGTTAGATTTTGGTCTCCCTTTTGCTAAATTTAGGTGATAATATTTATTTATTTGACTAATTATTTATTCATTGATCATTTTCAGGCCCATAGGAATGAATGGACAGAACTGGACACTCAGCAAAACTGTCAGATGTGAGCACTTCTGTCACAACAAATAAAATCTAACAAGTACAAATTTATTAGTATATTAAATAATAAAATACATAATAAATAATAATAAATTACGGTTGGCAAAAGTACTGAAAATCAGATACAAATCAGTACTAAAACGTATACTCATTTAAGCAATTACTGATACTGAAAAAAAATCACATAACTGGATAAAATTGGACCTTTGCTGAAATTGATTACAATGTTGACCAAAATGTTGCTTTTAAAATGATCATTTTGGTATCAAAATTGGTATCGAGTATGAAGTATTTTATTTAGTTTCAGAATCAAGTTTAAAAGCATTAATCATGACTTTTTATACATATAGATATATATTTTGGGGCGCCGTCTATATCTCTATTAAAATTGTTATATGTACTGTTAAAAATAGGCAAAAGTAATTTGAGTCAAAACAGAACAGACATTTTGAGAGATAAGAGGGCTCTATGTCTCATTATTTCAATAATAATAACACAGCATTAGGTGGAGGGACGTGCCGTCACAGCCACTTCAAAGCCTCACAATCATCCAGGTGTGCTGAGAATGCCCCTGCGGTCATGTGTGGGCAGCACCGCTTTATTGGCTATTAATGAGTGTTTGTGACGGTTTCCTTCACTCACGTTTCACCTTCAAACAGACACAAGGGATGGAAAAGTTCACACGGTACAGTATCCAGTTTGCATAGAAACATACAGTCATATTATTCATTCTGATAATGATGACGTGAGAAAAGAAAATAGCATAAGAATTCTCCCCAGTGTTTTTATTTTTTTTGCGTATATATAATCTGCAACCATTTTGAAACTACAGGCAACTAATGTGTGAAGTGACTACAAGAATACATTTTCAGTAAATAGGAAAGACAAGAACATACATTTGGGCATTCACTGTTATAAATTATGACAAAATTACAAAAAAATACATTGTGAACTGTTATGCACCCAATCTTATGTCCCCCTTTGTGGTGCATTAACACATGCCAAAATGTATTTAAACCTGATGTGGACTTGAACTGGTCTTGTTCTAATTATTGTTTAGTCCTGGTGTAGTCCAAATTTAGTTTCTGTTTTAGTCCTGATTTAGTCTGATGTCTTATTTTGATGTAAACACAGCCCTAGACTAATTGATCTCTCACCCCAACACCACTGAAGTCCATAATTTCACACAAGTATTCTTATGGATGTGAAAATGACAGTAGGCGGACATGGTAAAAGTCTGCTAAAAACACAATGTTCTGCTATTGGCTTCATATTTGGATGTTGCAGAAGCCATCATACAAATACAATAGTAGTGAAAGATGTTAAGGGAGCTAGACTGCCTGAGTAGAAAATGTCCGTGGCTCTTTTCCAGCAGTGATATCATGCTTTTATACTTTAGTCCTTGTTCTTGTCATCATAGCCATCGTCCCCCTGTCAAATGCAGCGGGGGTCCCACCAGGAGCTACCTGAGGCGCCAAGGCTATGAGACCCTCCTGTAAAAGTTCTTATTGACTGACTACCTAAATGAACTGGAATAATAAGGTCAGGAGTCACACCCCTGCTTTTTGCAACAGTAAATCTCCTTTATAAGTCTTGTCAGAGGTTGTAGTAAAATGCCATGGAGATGTGGAAAACTCGCTCACAGCTGGCTGGCTTACTTGAGTGCTTTCATCCTACACTAAGAAGGCATATTTTGGGGACTGTAAAAGCAACGTGTGAGAGGGACATCTGGAGATAAAAGATAGTTTACATTACAAGGTCACTTAAGAGCACTTAGGCAACTAATTTTGAGAGAATTGGGTGTGTAAACAACAGGAGCAGCATGTCCTATAGCAAAACAATTCAAAGCCTGGTCAACTGAAGACTACTGATCATCATAACAAGCCAATTTAGCATCCAGGGACACAGAGGAATATGATGGGTACTAGGGGGTCAAGTGTGCTTAAAAAACATAACACACACCTGCCAGTAAATAAACAGATCCAAAATCAACTAATATTTTCTTAAAAAGCAACACACAACAAAATCCTATGTCCCATCACATCTCAATGGCTGATAGTAAGAAGAAAAAGTTAGTCAAAGGACCCAGATTATGTTATTTCCAAATCTATGATAATAATATAATGTTGTCTCCTCATCAAAAACATAATTGGACTTGTGTTAAGTTCCTTTCTCAAACATAAAACCCTCTGTTCTACCTTGTGATGTCATGTGGTAATACAGGAAGTGCTCCACTGTGTTTTAAACTCCACACACCTTCACTAGAATCATTTACATCATTTCAGCATAGAAATTGCTCATCTCTACTGAACTAAAGGTGAAATGTAGCTGTTAACTGTACATGTAGACTGGCTAATAATAAAGACAGATATGTTTTTGAGGAGGTAACAGCATTATAACATGATTTAAAAGTTCACAAGAGTAAATTTTGCATAATGTAAGACCTTTAAACATGCTTTAAAGGTGCACTCCATGAAAACAAGGATAACAATATAGAATATTCCAGGAAAAAAGAATAACATCTCCATACAGACCATCAGTAGGCAAACCCCTCCCCAGAGAAGTTACATAGTGCACCTTTAAAACTATTTTCATACCAGTCCTTTTTTCCCACACAGTCAGACCCACCACATTTTTGGGATTGTAATCTCCACATTCCTCACCTGCTGTTCCCAAACCCAACCCAATCAAAAGCCAAGTACAAAGAGCGTCAGGCTAATTAAGCTCCCTGTCATTACAGCTCAGACTATGCCTTTCATTAGAGGGAAGCCCTGTGAAAGTTAACAGGCTCTCTACTGATGTGTGGGGAACTACTGTGCAAAGTATACAACACCATCAGAGAAAAAATTTACAAGATGTGAATTTTGGACTGAAGCAAGACTGGACCAGGACTAAACAAATTTGAATTTATAATATAACTAGGTCTAAAGTAGGGGAACACCACATATTATTAGAACTAAACATAGACTAAATTAGGATGATTAGACATGAATAACAAAGATCAAACCACGATGCAACATGGAACAAATCAGGTCTAAACTAGGTCTGAACCAGGTCTAAACCAGGTTTGAACCAGTTCTAAACCAGGTCTAAATAAGGTACACCAATGAAGCCATTATCAATTGCTGTAATATAAACCAAGAAAGTATGCAGACCACATTACAATTTTATTGCAGCTTTAAGCATCACCAAGTCAAATGGCATTAAAAAAACATGAAACGTTTGTGCCATCTGTGTCAATAAACTGTAATTTACTTCAAGGTAAAAATCTCTCACCTACAATAATACACAAGGTCCTATAATCTTCAAATATCTGCAAAAATAAAGGCTTTAACTCCAGACAGACTGCACAGACCAGCCATTGTAAAGAAACAGGAATGTAGCAAATTTGAGTTGATAACCGTACGAAATGTAGGACAGGCAGAAATGTACAATGCCCATAGTGTCTACAGTGAAATGTGTTGTAGGGAGTACTATGACGATGAGTGAAAGAGACTTCACACTGTCCTATAGCCAAAAGTACATTGTTGCTTCAGCTGTTCACATTTTATCTTATCTAACTTTTCTAGTGGAGGGTTCACCACCTGCTAGCCTCTATAGAGTTATATTTAATTATGCTCAAATATATCTGTTATATGTGTCTTCTGTCTGTTTTTAAATGTTCTATATGAACCCATTAGAGTCTGAAATAAACCTTGAATGATTGATATTTTTCATTATATATTACCATATTATGCAGTTTAATAAAGTATTTATCGATCTATGAAATCTTGTTACCTCGTCAAAAACATACTTGCAGTTGTGTTTTGTTTCATTCACACATGAGTAATCTTTTATTATTAGTCTGTCTACATCTCCAAAAGATTTTTGTTCCACCTTTTGTTCAGAAGACAAGAGTAATTTTAGAGCTGAAAGCATCTTATTCTAGTGAAGATGTATGGAGTTTAAAAATACAGCGGAGCACTTTATTTCCACATGACACTAGGGTGGAACAGAGTTTTCGGTTTGAAAGGAGAACACCAAGTAGCCAAAATATGCAGGGTTTTTGTGTTAAACATGTGTGAATGAAACAAAACATAACTCCAGGTATGTTTGTGATGAGGAAATAACATTATAATAGCTTAATATGGACCTTTTAATTACTTAGACATCTATAAACAACTTTTTCTGTATCTTAAGGGACTAAAAATGCGTCTTCTTTGATGTAGCCGCTGATCCCGGTCCAGGCCTAAATACACAAATATCATTCACAAATCTCTGGATGTTGACCTGGCCCTGCAGACGTAATGTAAATGTTTAGCAGGTATTAGCAGTGCTCATTCAGGCTTCAGGAGGATTTTCAGACTGGGCTATTTCTGTACAAGGTGGTCTCTGCTAGATCTTAACTTGGAACTGCAATGTAAAAGCAAAAGTTTGTCACAAACAGTCAAGTGATATGACAGATTACCTTAAACTTCATCAAGGGGCCAGATAATAAAGATAACATTCTTGGCATTTTACCCATGTTATCAAAACCATATTGAAACAGAAAGATAACGGGGCTTACTATAAGGTACGGTTATAAATCTACACTACTTGTCAACACAATTAATCTTCTTAATCTGCAGTAGAGAACCAAATAGTCAAATAAATTGGCAAAGTATTCATGAAAAAAAATCTGTTTTTCAAGGAAGAGAAAACTGTAAGACTGCAATGGTTAGACACTGTCTGTCACACGATAGTCAAAATCAAAAAGTTAAAATATTAGCTTAAAATTGGGAGCAATAATTAGGAGATCCAAATAGCGTCTTCAGCCTACCTTTGATTAATATTTAGCAAGGGAAATGAATCAGGTTTAAATATGTTAAAAACTGATTGACAACTACTGTTCATTCAGCAAACAAAACTAAACCAGGACTAAATATGGATGACTCTGGTAGAACTAAAGGTCTAAAGAAGAACACCAGGAATAAACTAACCCATAGGGGTATAATACAAAGCTGATTAGACATAGGCAGGCTTTAATTCAGTGAGCTGTCTTGTCAATGCCTGAACCACAGCTCAGAGATGACGAGTGTCACAGAAGTGTGCAGCCACATTTGACCATTTTTACATTTTTTATAATATGTGCAGATATGATCTACGTTTTAACTCAGGCTCTTAACCTGCTCCGGACCAGGTTAGCTCTGCCGCTCTGTGATGAAACCATGCTGAAAATGAGCCACCTTCGTGACACAAGAAATACAGGGTTTGATCTTGACTAACCTAGTTTAGTCATCTATCTCACTTTGCCGTATACCCCTCATGTTTCAGCAAAGAATTAACCTAGAGCTAAACATGGACTAGCAAAACCAAGACAGGACAACAATATGTAACATCATAGAGCAGTGAGTTTTGGCTTTTATTTCAGATTTACCTGTCAGGGTGCTCCTTGACTACCTGGTAGACCTTAAGGAGGAGGGTGTCATTGGGAAAGGCGCGGCTCACACACTCTTTGTACAGCCTGAACTCTGCTGCAGTGACCGCCTCCCCCTCCGGGATCTGGGACAGGTTAAACTTAAACTCTTTGTGATGCCGCCGCTGAGGGGACAGCTCTCTGTCAAACTCCACTGTGGAAACAGAAGACAAAAGCACAAGCACAGGATCAGAACAGTGCAGTAATAAGATTGTGGTTTGATTTAATGCCTTTGTGGTGAGCTGTGGTACTAAACAGTGCAGTCAGTAAAAATGAAAATATCATTATGCAGCTATGGCAACTGTAATTAACAGTGCCAAGGAAATTACAGCTAAAGCTAAACACATTTCCTTAGTATTAAACTAAGAAGTCTAATTAAGTCTAAGTACCGTAAGTAGGCTAATCTTATCATACATTCAATATAACTATAAAAGTATTTTTGTGATTTATGTGTTATAATGTTGTGTAACCTATTCGTGTTGCCCAGTAGTGAATAAAAAAAGAAAATTACACAATGATTTTCAAAAGCCAAGATCACTATTTGGATTTTATCAGAAGTATATGGCTTAAAAGTAACTAACACATCTGCTTCTTTTGAGAGTTCATACTTCACAGTGATTGGATAAATTCATCTGTCACTCATGAACCATGAAATAGCACAATCAATAGCATAAAAAAGTAAAAAAAAAAGACTCACAATCCAATTTCATCTGTATATTGCCCATCCATGCTTTGGGATATTTTTTCCCTACAGTTGTAGCTTGAAATGGGGAGAAAGAGGGTAGAGACATTCAGTAAACAGTCGTGGTCAGAAGGCCATCTCAAATCACCATGGTAACAACCACAAATGTGTAACGCCTAAAACCACGACACCACCAGCGAGCACTAGCATGGGAAAACTCATGGCACATTGATCCTGTGTGTGATAAAAGATCTATCCCATCCCTACTCCTCATCTACCGTTATTTTTACATCAAAAACATACTTAAATGCAGACCAGCATGTAAAGTCAGCAGAGCAAAGCCGAACCATTGAGTTTAACCCAGAGCGAACTCAGCGTAGAACAGGAAAAACATGCAATGAGTGGGTAATAATAAGTCTAAGATGGCACATTGACAAACAAGTGTCCAGTGTAAATATACAGGAGATCAGTGATATCCGGATTGCTTTCAGACAGTGTGCTGAGGTTGACCATGGCAGCCTCTTAAACCATCACATGTGCTTTATACTTCAGACTAATAGCTTGCGCGGTTTCCTTAAATAAAGCCCTGTTATCATCAGTCTGAGGCCGAAACAACATCAATCTTTTCCTTTTTACTTAAGAGACACTGGCCACCAACCAACAAACCCACCACCACCGCTTTTAAGTGCACTATGCTTTATAATGATGTGTACATATGAGCCAGAATGAGCTCCTGTCTCTATAGCACGAACAGGCTTTGTGATGTCTGCCATGTTAGAGGCAATTAGAAGGTACAGAAGTATAGGCTACATGTATTTAACGGCCCCATATTACACAAAATTGACTCTTGTGAGCTTTTAGCCATGTTATGATGCTGTTACCTCATCAAAAACATATCCAAAGTTTCATTCATATATGTTTCAGTAACCGTTTATTGTTAGTCTGTCTACATCTCCAAAGCTCAAAATGCTCTGTTCTTACCTTTTACCTTTTTCTCAGTAGAAATTTGTTATCTAAATGATTCTAGCAAAAACGTGCAAAGTTTAAAAACATAGTGGAGCACTTTCTGTATTACCACATGACATCCCAAGGTACAACTACCCTCTAACTTAAGTCAGACTTTCTTTAAAATAATTACATGAGATTTTAAAGGTGGACGATGCAACTTTAGTAGGAGAAGATGGACCACCTTGTCTCTATAGCAATGCTGTAGCTTTGCTGGAATGCCGGTAGATACGGTTAACTGAACACTGTGGAACATTCCAGGCAAAGCAGTAAAATCTTTTTCCATGTAGTTGAGCAACTGTTTTTTCCTTTGCACAGATATATGTAATAAATGGCTCTTGGGGTCAAAATGAGACCACTGTGTACTGCCCACATCTAATAATGTGTTTTATTGTCCAAATATCAGGATGTGCACTGTTGGCATGCTAATTTTTGCATTACAGTGATAGTAATAATCTGCAATGGCCTGTGAAATGGGCTTATAAACTCATCGTGGTGAATACTTAGGTTGCTCGGAGTGCATTGACATATAACTTTGGGCCACTGCAAATAAAGTAATTCTCTTTTTCACCTTTTGAAAATCAGGTACAGCACTTTAAACTGTAAAAGTATCTTGTCACTTCCCAGTACTACAAATATATGATGAAGTAGGTCTACACTATAATTGCTCGCACCCAAACACATACATCAGCACTCCTACACGGTCACACACTATAGGCTAAATGCTTTCTCATATGCTCTATAGTGCTCAGAGCAAATCGTCAGCTCCAGTGTAGTTTCCACTCAGCACAGTTTGAAATCTGTGGTTGGGTCGACCACAAACTGAAGCTTATTCCACTGTCTCACGCCTTCTTTACCTGCACAAGACCAGTCCAGCCGCTCAAATTATTAACATTATAGCTGCAAATTGAAATTACGCAGGTTAGCTTGACGTCTGGCCACCATAAAGCAAAAATTACAGTCATTACGAACCCTGCAGTAACAAACACATTGAGTTATAAAACCTATGTATAGCAATATTTATTCCAAGTTGAGTCATATGCCATAGGAAAGTTACATTGGGCATTTCTTTACACATTTGATAGTCTTTTAATCTCCTCAAGTTATGTTTGTTGAACTTAAGCCAGTCTTCCTAAAACTAGTGCTGATTTTATGACGTATGGACCCACCCAAATGACACATTTTGTTCCCTAATGCACAGAGAGAAAAGTGTGGTGTGACAAGAAAGCCAATCAGAGAAGCTCAGAGGAAGTAGTCCCGCCTGTCACAAACACACACACATATACACAAACACAGACACACACACACACACCCCCAGACAGACACACACATACACAAACACAAACACAAACACACACGCACACAGGTCATCCCCAGACACTGTAATACTGACCAGAGTCGAGAGAGGTTATTTCCATGATGACCCGTGTTTATGTTTATCTTATTTGTTTTTATACAGATATGGGACAGAAACTAGAATATATATGTGGTTAGTAGATATGGTATGAGGAAAAAAAAAAGGCACTTTTTGGCTGGTCCAAAGCATCATAAAGTGTAAAGCCCAGACTAAAAATGCAAAAACTAATTTCAAAATAGGCATGTTATGATAATTACTATATCGTCTTTTAGTTCAATATATTACAGAATGAAACAACTATTTTTGACACTCAATTATTTTTCTGTACTGTGGTGAGATTTGAGCTCTAGAAGGATGAATTATGAATTTCTATCTTTATAATAGATACAAACTAACTCTCGTAAGTGTTGCATTCTGTTATTTATTTACTGAAATTCATGAAGTTCAATACTGTATATTCAAACTACTTTTTGAGAATAATTCTGTTTTGCGGTTTGGTTTCAGTATTATCATTTATCGTCTATTTTTTTACTTCAGCAATACTTCGCACTTCAAAATTTGTTATTGTGACAAGCCCATTTCAAAATAGTAGATTGTGCGTATGCATATAATTTAAAATTTGGTCATTTTTCCAAACATTTGGTTTAAAATCTGGTGCTTAACATTAAAATTATAATATACACAGCAAGGTCTTGTCTTATAAGTTTATTAATGCAGGATAAATGAGTCAGGATCTGTATTTTTGCACACAAGCAAGGTCAAAACAGTTGTGGACATAAAATGTTTCTTTTTTTGCATCAATCAGTCATCTCAGTCTGGTTATGTAATATCTTGGTCTTTGTTATCGTCTTGACAACAACCCTAAACCATTCTGCAACAAATGTTAGCTGTAAAACAGTACGTATTCAACTTCAGGACTTGTGGACATCCAAAGTAGAGCCACCTATGGAGAACTCAGTGTTTTTCCCATCATGCTCTCTGTGACCAGTATCAGTTTTGACAGATCCCCCTCCCACATGAGCAGATGTACCCATAACTGTGATGTTAAGGCCTGTATCATAATGACAGGAAGCCAGTAGGGCCAAAAAACCTCTGCCTGATAGTTCTGCATTTGAGGTCACAGCTCAGCAAATGACTTTACAGCACTTGTCCCAACACCCCCCGAGTTTGAAGAATAATGGGTTGAAATTAAAGGGCCCATATTACGCTATTTTCTGATTTGTTATGTTTCCTCAGAGCAAACATACCTGGAATTTAGTTTTGTTTCATTCACGCATGTTTAACGCACAAATCCTTGATGTTTAGGCTGAGTTCTTCTCTCAAACGGAAACACTCTGTTCCACCTTGTGATGTCATGTGGTAATACAGCAAATGTGTTTTAAACTCATACTAGGTTAGAATCATTTAGATAATTTCATCCCTGGAATTGAACTAATGATTAAAAGTAGCTGTTAACTTGAAAATTACCACTACATGACATCACAAGGTTGAACAAAGCATTTTGAGCTTTGGAGATGAAGACGCACTAATAATAAGGGTTTACTCAAACATGTGTGAATGAAACATAACACAGCTCCAGGTAATATTTTAAAAGGCTTAAAGCTCACAAGAATCCTTTTATGTAATATTAGACCTTTAAATAATCATTTTTTGGCACAACATATTTTTTGATAAACTTTGCTCTGGTCACTTACAAGAAATTAATAGTTCATTTATTTATGCAGCAAATGTGCAGGATAGTTTGTGGATGTGTCAGCGACGCAAGTGTCAAACTAAACAAGATTAATGATTATCTCAATTATTATAGTGCATTCTTACAAAAGGCATGCGATAAACTGTTTATTCACTTCATATTTGGAGAATCTGCGGAATTTTGTATAACATTAACATTTTAACATTTTCTGCTCCATATACGAGATAAAAGATGAACTGGAAACAGTGAAGACTTTTCAGCCAAGTCTGATTGCATTTGCAACAAAAAGCTCATAGCAACACAGTGTAACTTTACCAAATTTCTAAATACCTTCATAATATAAAGTCAAAACAAAACTGTAGCCCTAGTTACTGTTTAAGGAATGTAGAAAATAGTTGACCTTCATTGACACTTTGT